CACAATTGCAACTTTATTTCTCAAAATTGCGACTTCATATCTCGCAATTGTGACTTTATATCTCGCAATTGTGACTTTATTTCTCATAATTGCGACTATATCTCACAATTGCGACTTTATATCTCAGAATTGCAACTTTATTTCTCATAATTGCGACTTTATATCTTGCAATTGCGACTTTATTTCTCAAAATTGCGACTTTATTTCTCATAATTGCAACTTTATTTCTCAAAATTGCGACTTTATATCTCGCAATTGTGACTTTATTTCTCATAATTGTGACTTTATCTCACAGTTGCGACTTTATATCTCAGAATTGTGACTTTTTTTCTCAAAATTGCGACTTTATTTCTCAGAATTGCGACTTTATATCTTGCAATTGCAACTTTATACCTCAGAATTGTGACTTTATATCTCAGAATTGCAACTTTATTTCTCAAGATTGCCACTTTATATCTTGCAATTGTGACTTTATTTCTCATTACTGGGACTTTATATCTCGCAATTGTGACTTTATTTCTCATAATTGCGACTTTATTTCTCGCAATTGCGACTTTATTTCTCATAATTGTGACTTTATATCTCGCAGTTGCGACTTTACATCTTAGAATTGCAACTTTATATCTCACAATTGCGACCTTATTTATCAAAATTGTGACTTTATATCTCATAATTGCAACTTTATTTCTCATAATTGCGACTTTATTTCTCATAATTGCGACTTTATATCTTGCAATTGCGACTTTATTTATCAAAATTGCGACTTTATTTCTCATAATTGCTACTTTATTTCTCATAATTGCGACTTTATTTCTCGTAATTGCGACTTTATATCTTGCAATTGCGACTTTATTTATCAAAATTGCGACTTTATTTCTCATAATTGCGACTTTATATCTCGCAATTGTGACTTCATTTCTCATAACTGCGACTTTATATCTCGCGATTGCGACTTTATTTCTCATAATTGTGACTTTATATCTCACAGTTGCGACTTTATATCTCAGAATTGTGACTTTTTTTTCTCAAAATTGCGACTTTATTTCTCAGAATTGCGACTTTATATCTTGCAATTGCAACTTTATACCTCAGAATTGTGACTTTATATCTCAGAATTGCAACTTTATTTCTCAAGATTGCCACTTTATATCTTGCAATTGTGACTTTATTTCTCATAATTGCGACTTTATATCTCGCAGTTGCGACTTTACATCTTAGAATTGCAACTTTATTTCTCATAATTGCAAATATATCTCACAGTTGCGACTTTATATCTCAGAATTGTGACTTTATTTCTCAAAATTGCGACTTTATATTTCGCAATTGCGACTTTATTTCTTATAATTGTGACTTTATATCTCACAATTGCGACTTAATTTCTCGTAATTGCGACTATATCTCACAGATGCGACTTTATATCTCAGAATTGCGACTTTATTTATCAAAATTGCGACTTTATTTCTCAAAATTGCGACTTTATATCTCGCAGTTGCGACTTTACATCTCAGATTTGCGACTTTATTTCTCAGAATTGTTTTATTATTTCTTTTTTTATTTAGTGGCGGAAACAAGCTTCCATAGATTACAGTACAAATTGGCTCTTTCAAATTTAATCATGAACATTAATTTAATGTGCTTTAATGTATTTATTCTGACAAAAACGTCCCGAGTCGTTTACATAAAAATCAGTTTCATCATAGCCAACCTAAAAAAGTCAGGAAAAAAAAAAATATGATTCATTACAAGCTATCAATACTACTACTTATAATAATAAACGATGAATACATGAAAATTCTTCCATACTCTTTACAATGGTCTTGAGTGAACTGAAAATGTTTATAATACATTCATGGCTCTGGAATGTGTGGGAATATCGAGAGGTTTGTGGGATGCTGCACTCCAGAGACATGTAAACAACCCCAAACACACACACACACACAGGCCCAGAGAGACAGCTGGCACGTTTCGGGATTATTCATCATCCCTCAGTGGGGTCTGGGAATGAAGCCAGCCTTCCCAAAATATTCAAATGGCATATTGTGAAATATTATTTCTTTGGCTGCTATATCTCATTTAAGCATGTTACATAAACCAACTTCATGGTGCATCCTAGCGACCTTAGACACTATATAAAGTATTTTGATAAAGTTTTTAAGCATGCAAACTTTTAAATAACGTAAAGTAAAACCATAGAGTGCTTTAATATCATTAACAGACCCTGATCCTCATGTGCTCGTCCTCCTCTCACCTGTTTGCATTTGTCTTCCGATGTTTTCTTATCAGACTCGGCCTGTTCTGCCCGGTCGATGGCGTTCTCCTTATCCAGCTTCAGCATCTGCATCTTCTTCTTAATCGCCTCCATTTTGACTCTTTTTGCTCTTGAGTGTCTGAATGAAGAGGAAGCTGAGAGACGAGAGCGAGGAGAGAGTCCACACTGAGCTGAAGCGCTGCTGCCGATGGTTTAAACCTGAGTTTGAGGAGACGAGACTCATTCCCTGGTGTCCTCCACCTCCCCTTCCTCAACACACACACACACACACACTCCTCAACCAAACCTTTTACCCACAGAAAAGTCAGCAGATTCCCATATTAGGAGTGAGTAACCGATCTTCTACTAGAAGCAAGATGTGCATACGAGTGTGTACTGGCTCATGCTTCATTAAACTAGGCAAACTCACTCTACTTTTTACAAACAAACTCGTCAATGTACGTTTCAAAGGAGTTTCTCAGTCTTATCAACATATAGTCACTCGCTCTGCTTCTGAAATTACTTTTTTTATGTGACATCATCAGTCTTTTTTTATTTTTTAATTAACATTCTGATATTTAACACCCATGATTTAATCAATATGAAAAAAAATGTATCTAATGCATTAAAAAAAGATTTCGCATTTCAATTGTATAGTAAAATCCCATCAAATTTTCTTTTGACATATTCATATTTTGAATTAAGAAAAAACCTAGAGCTTAATTAAACATTTGTTTAAAGGAATGAGTCATTTAAACATTTCAGTTTGTGTGATTCGTATTCATAAATTTAAAAAAACAACAACAATTAAAATGTTTACTTTTTTTAATTTATGTATTTATGACTGAAATGTTCCATTAAGATTTATACAAAATGTTTGATTGAGCTCTATTTCTTTTAGTAATTTAAAATAAAAAAATATTAATAATATGTAAGGATTTTTCAATTCCATTTCACCGCATTTTAATATTAATTGAAATTCGTACATTAAAATTTTTTTGGAGTGTTTTCAGTAAATCTTATATCATATTTTATTCACGTTGCACTGAAATCTCATCAATTTCACTCACACACAAATTTATTATTTATTTAATAGTATACTATACATGTTATTATTGAATAGCCTATATACTGTACATATATATATTATGTATTAATAAACAAAACAAATATATAAATAAAAACAATTTTTTCACAAAAATCTCATCTAAAATTTATGTGGCGATGTTAATGTGTAAAATGTGTGTGTGTTTGTGTACATATATACAGTATATATACACACTCTAAAAAATGCTGGGTTGTTTAAACCCAATTTGGGTCAAATGGACAAACTCAAATATTGGATTAAAAATGTTATTTATTGAACCCAATGGCTGGGTTTGTCCATATTTGACCCAAAATTGGGTTAAAACAACCCAGAATTTTTTAGAATATATATATATATATATATATATATATATTTTATATACAACCAATGAGGTTGTTCTGATAGTTTGATCCAGTCGAGTGTTAATAACAGGGTTGGTCAGAGACACCGCAGGCAGCTTATGGGGACAAAATGGAAAAAGTGGAATTCTGAGCTGAGGAAAAAGTCTGACATGGGAATGTTTGTGTAAAACGAAATGAGCTGGACTTGAAATAAGACTTATGTTTTCTATATATTATAGAATTATTATGAATGCATCATTTGTCCCATGCAATTGGTGTTCAACGCTCCCTTTAATTCTCACATAATCAAATCATTGAAACTCAAATCAATATTTCATATCTGTTTATTTATTTACACGGTAAGTTGCCATTTAATACAAGACACATTTATCCCAATCACCCTGTCAGGGTTTATTTTGAAATAATGGCTGGCTGTGAATCTCATAATATATTCACAATTGCATGCATTTCTCTTGTGTATCTGTTCAGTTTTAGAAAGACGTCTCTGCTTTTAAGTGCACACTTGGGGATGCTGATATGGAAGACGATGGTCTCGAGATGCTCAGCTCAGACAGGTGAGGAGATGAAGCAGCTGCCGAGTCTTAAAATACTGTCCATAATCAAATCAGCACATTTTTAAGAGCCTAAAACACAACAGGAATGAGTGCAAGACGAGTCTCATGAGAAACTCGGTTATATCTTATTGCTTCGGGGACCAGTAACCCTTTACATAAATAATAACTATAAAGTTTGGGGTCACTATGATGCTCAAATTTTCAAAAGTGATATTTATAATGTTACAAAAGAGTCTATTTCAAATAAATGCTGTTATTTTTACTTTCTATTCATCAAAAAAAATGCATCGGTTTCCTCAAAAATATGAAGCAGCACAACTTTTTTTTTAACATTGATAATAAACAGAAATGTTTGCATATTAGATCTGCATATTTTACTGATTTCTGAAGGATCATGTGACACTGAAGACTGATGCTGGAAATTCAGCTTTGATCACAGAAATAAATTACATTTTAACATATATTCACATAGAAAACAGATATTTTAAATTGTAATAATATTTCACAATTTTTACTGTATTTTTGACTGTTCAAAAAAACGTTTAAAAATCGTACCAACCACAAACTTATCAATGAGAGATGTGTTGATTTTTAACTTTAACTTTATTGTCGTCCATGCAGCTTTTGGAAACTATATTTTACTTTAGTTAACTGTTAGTGTCGAATAGCCAAAAGGTTTTATTGATTTCTGAAATTGAAAGAAGTGTTAAAAGTGCAGTGGAGAGAGAGTGAGCCTTTAAAATCACTTTATTTACAAAAATATTAAAGATACAACATTTTTAGTAAAAAGAAAAAAGCTTTTAAAACCAACAAGACTGAGAGCAATGGAATTAAAATAAAACAACAGAGTCTCAAGACATGAAATAGCATCTTAGAAATGCAAAATACTTGTTTCTAAAAAAAATTTATAAAAAAATAAATAAAAAAAGAGAGAGACATCCTTCAAATAGAGAGAGAGAGAGACTTTAAAATCACTTTATTTACAAAAACATTAAAGATACAACATTTTTAGTAAAAAAAAAAGCTTTTAAAACCAACAAGAATGAGAGCAATGAAATTAAAATATAACAACAGTCTCAAGATATTAAATAGCATCTTAGAAACACAAAATAGCCTACTCGTTTGTAAAAAAAAATCTAAATAAAAGAAAAAGAAAGAGAGAGAGTGAGAGAGACATCCTTCAAAGAAAGAGAGAGAGAGAGTAGTTGTATCACTGAAAGGGAAAAGGATCCTCCCACAGGAAGTGCATTCTCTCTCCTCATCTCCTTTTATGGTAAAAACACCCAAAAAAGCACGCGGGCACCTTGGGAATAGACCGATTTGATAGTGTGAGTCAAGAGCATAGCTGAGGTCCTGAGAATGAAGCCCGAGACCGACAGCAAACACTTCACGTCTGGAAACAGCTTCTACACTGTAGAAACACATAAACTAAATCCATAAAAAACTGAAACTGAAATAAAAAAATTAAATAAAACCCCAGAGACATATTCATAAAAAAGGGTAATGTAGTCATTAAGCAAAACCTAAAAACATTAATAACGTTTTTGTTACTTGAAATAAAGTAAACTGAAATAAAATATATATAAAATTAACTTTATTTTAATAAAATAAAACTTTTTTTATTTTTTATTTTAATAAACTTTATAAAATTACTTTATGTCACCTTTAAGCCCACAACAGATTTACTAAAACTTTAAGTTAAATGAAAATGGATAATATATATATATATATATATATATATATAAAATCTAGTAGGCTATCTCAGTAAAATAACAGGCAAAATCATCAACAACAAAAACAACAAAAAAGTTTTGTCATACTATATTCAAAAGTCTATTTAAAATAATGACTTGCATGCACTGCATGTTTTTTTTTTACATGCAGTGCACATACAGTTCAGCTGTTGCTTCTGTCTAAATAAAAATTTTCTGTCACTTATAATATAAAACACACTACAGAATCATCAGCTCCGTATAGGTTATGACAGGTTCATCTGACACTTGAATCCAAATGAACTATCGTTCAAGCTGTAAACTCGACCAGCTGTCTAATATAAGTAGTATATGTGTTGCTGTACATGCAACAGCTCCTTATTATATCCGTGAGCTCACGAGCTTCCATCGGTCCCGGAGGAGCCTCGGATCCGTCCTCATCCTTCAGACATGCTCACGATTAAAGTTCAAGGGTGTTTGTGCTTCTCCGTCGCTGCTTCAAGACTGTGGAACAACTTATGCAGATATTAAAGGAGTAGTTCACTTTAAAAAAACACTTTTGCTGATAATTTACTCACCCCCATGTCATCCAAGATGTCCATGTCTTTCTTTCTTCAGTCGAAAAGAAATTAAGATTTGTGATGAAATTTTCTCCATATAATGGACTTCAATGGGGTCCAAACAGTTCAAGGTCCAAATGAGAGTTTCAGTGCAGCTTCAAAGGGCTTTAAACGACACCAGACGACGAATAAGGGTCTTATCAAGCGAAACGATCGGACATTTCAAAAGTAAATACAAAAAGTTTTAAGAACTCGTTCATCAAAATGAGCGAATCTTTTTTCGAGTCATTTGGTTGATTCAATGAGTTCGAACAGGAGAGTAATGAACGCTCATCACAGAACTGAGCAAGGTGAGCATTTGTGCTTAAAACTTAAACTTTTTGTATTTATTTTTTAAAAGGCCGATCGTTTCGCTAGATAAGACCCTTATTCATCATCTGCACTCTAAAAAATGCTGGGTTGTTTTAACCCAATTTTGGGTCAAATATGGACAAACCCGAAATGTTGGGTTAAAAATGTAATGTAAAAATTTAACCAACAGCTGGGTTAGTCCATATTTGACCCAAAGTTGGGTTAAAACAACCCAGCATTTTTTAGAGTGTGGTGTCGTTTAAAGCCCTTTGAAGCTGCACTGAAACTCTCATTTGGACCTTGAACCGTTTGGACCCCATTGAAGTCCATTATATGGAGAAAATCCTGGAATGTTTTCATCAAAAACCTTAATTTCTTTTCAACTGAAGAAAGAATGACATTGACATCTTGGATGACATGGGGGTGAGTAAATTATCAGCAAAAGATTTTTTTAAAGTGAACTACTCCTTTAATAACATATTCAGAATTCAAGACTCATTTATTCTGGACTTCATGTTCATTAAGAAGCTCATTTCTAGCTTTAAGTTTGAAAAATACCTAAAATACAGGAATACTATGTGGAACTAGACCACTGTTCAAAAGTTTGGGGTCAGCGAGAATCTATA